GCAAATCACCTTCACTAACCAGTGTGATGATTGGTTTGTACAATCTCATAAGATCTAGTTGTCAGAGTGGTACCAACACGCTAATTTGAAAAGACTCACTCATATTGAACACAGGGCTATTCAGGGTTCTGGGCTCACTGCATCCTTTGGGTTTGAGTCAGCCTTACGTGAGCTGGTCAGTGTCCCCAGAAAAGTACTGCTTCCTATACGTAGAACCTGAGGGTGATGTGGCAGCAGCAGGAGTCCTCCATACCGTGTGCCTCTCACTTTTGTTGCTGGCCCCTGGGTGGTCAACTCCCATCAAAGGCTCCTTGCTACATATTAGATGGTCAGGGGTGACCTCACTTATCGCCTAGGTTTTGCAGACTCTTGTTCTACAATGCAAATGGCCCTAGATCTTTACAACAGATGTTTTCCTCACCTGACTAATATGATGATAATATTTTACTTTCTAGATTAGTCTTTTTGTGAGAATAGGAACAATTTTCTTGCTAGGCCCACAGGATTCTCTCCCATTGTCAACACTGAAATAGATCACTGGGAATGCAATAATTATAGCCCATAGCATTCAAGAAAAGACATGGTTGAAAAATATGCTGACCTACTTTTTTTTTTTTTTTTTTTTTGGTACCTGGAATCAAACTCAGGACCTTGCACTCACCAGGCAGGCACTGTGCTGCTGAGCTATATCCCCAGCCCAGCTAACGTACACCTGTACTGTGTCGCAAACAATAAGTTAAACAAGACCAGAAAATGAATTAGTGTTCCATTTTCAGGCATACTCTAAATAAAAGTTACATTCATAATTATCAACAAAGAAGCACAGTAACAACCCTTCAGAGAGTGCTTGGAGGCCAGTGTGCATAGATAGCACAGTGGAGCATGAAGTGCCCTGAACAATGATGTGACCAGCACCAAACAAGCAGTTATTAGGGACAGAAAGAGGCAAAAAGACCCAAACATATGGCTTCAATACACACAGGCTCCAAAGAACTACGGCACTGTGAATAAGAGCATATCCCTCACTCTTTCCCATGGTAAGAGATAGAAAGTTAGCCAGGGGCCAGGGATTAAGCTCAGCGGCACAGCACCTGCCTGGCAAGCCGAAGGTCGCAAGTTCAATTCCCGATACCGGAAAACAAAACAAAACAAAAAACAAACAAAAATTTGGGGCTGGGGATTTAGCTCGGCAGCAAAAGCGCCTGCCTGGCAAGCACAAGGTCGTGAGTTTGGTTCCCGGTACTGGAGAAAAACCAAAAAAAAAAAAAGAAAGTTAGCCAGGAGTGGTGCATTTGATAATAAAGAGCATACAGAAGTAATTCTTGAACTTTATTCAGAAGCCACGTGGCCTGATGACCATGTACAATGACTGAACAATAAACATATATGCAAATACCACTTCCTTACTTGTTATCTTAACTCTGCATTGATAAATCTTCATTGATAAATTACTATACCTCCTGGGTCCATGACTTTCACCTTTTCTAATCAAATTTTTATGTAGACAGGGACCCTGCAAAATACACACATTCACGCATGCATCCATGTACACATGCATGCACAAACATTCTCTCCCAGATCCCTGTACATCTTAGAGGTGGCTCTAATCTTACATGAGTTCAAAAAGCTATCCTGAGATCCAGACATATACACAAGCAAGAACTTTTATAAGCCATTTTTAGGACAGCAAATTCTCTGAATAGTTCCCAAACTGTGATGAATATCATTATCAGATTGATGGTACTCTGTAGCAATCTCAAGGAATACCAACCAGTGGAATTTCTGGAAAACATAAACTCTTAAAATCAAAATGGAGCTTAAGAGACTGACGAGACCATCATCTCATTTGTCCCACATCATTGATAATCCCCCATGTTCACCATTCCTGCCTCTTTTTCTTTCCTTTTTTTTTTTTTTTTTTTTGTTATCACTAGTTAAAAGCAACATTTCTACAACTTTAAATTTCAAATACAGGAAACTCATATTTAAAGATGAGCTGGTATATTAGTTTTCCCTTGCTGGACACAATACTTGACACCTACAATTTGAAGGAAGGATTTAATTTGGCTCAGGTTTTAAGGGGATTCAGCTGTCTCTGAGTGAGAAAAATCACGCTTAAAGAATCGGGCTGAGCAAAACTGCCTAGCTCATGGCCTGTGAAGCAGGGGAACAGTGCCAGAAAGGTTCCTCCTGGGGAAAAATTTAACTTTTTCAAATTGTTCTGCTCTGTCTTTTACCCACAATTCTCACTATAAATCTAGCTAAAGGCAGTCAGCAGTACTCATACCACAGCCTAAACATTGAGCTATCCTGAAATTTCCTCTGCCAGATCATTAGTCCACCACCCTTACTCTCCAGTCTCCTGTGAAGTCTCAGGGCATGGGAAAAATGTAAACAATTTTTTTACCAGAGAGTAATATACAAGATCTCTAGCCCAAATTTCAATGAGTCCTTGTTCCCAGCTGAAACTTCCTAATCTTACCTTTTACTATCTGGATTTCTATCAGAATATCACTGATAGGAATTCTGATGTTCTGAACTCTGATCAGAATCATTCATCAAGCTCTGTTCACAGTATTCTACAACTTCCCTAGCCCACATCTCCAAACCTTTCCAAACTTCTCCTACAAACCAGTTCTAAAGGCTTCTAAAACACATGGTCAGGTACAGTGACAGCAATGATCCCTCTCTTGGTACCAATTTCCTGTCTTCTGTATTAGTCAACTTTCTTGTTGGTGAACACAGTACTCAACACCCACAACTTAAAAGAGAAGAGGGTTTTGGCTCCCAGTTTCAGGGGATTCAGTCCATGGTCTGCTGTCTCCAAAGCAGAAATATCACGGTGGAAGGGTGTGGCAGAACAAGGCTGCTTAGTTTACAGCAACTGGGAAGCAGAGCAGGGGGACAGTGCCAGAGAGATAGGGGTGAGGTATAAGATATAGACCCCAAGGTCACACCTCCATGCCCCACCCAGACACACCCACAGGTATGCCCCACCAACCGCCTGAGCAGATTCCAAAGCCAGTAAAGTTGACACTCTACCTGAACCCCCACACCTAGATCGGAACTGACCCAAGACGTTTATAAGAGCTAACCCAGCTGATTCATTTTCTTCTTGTCTCTGCTCAGTTTGAAGTAGTCTAAATTCCAAACAGATCAATGAAAATGTTTCCTGGTTTTCAAACCCTCCTGAGAAGGAGCCTCTACCAGTCTCCTCAAACACACATGCCAAGCTTAATAATGTTCACACTGCCTCTACATGAGGCACACATCCTTTATCTGCTGAAGCTCGTATGAGCTTCTTGTTACTATAAGAACCTGAGACAAGCACCCTATAAAGCAAGAAGGGTTACTTTGTTTTTTGTTTTTTTTTTTTTTTTATTTTAAGGATAAAAGGAGGGAAACATTAACAGACATACAACATTTTACAACATATCACAAGCACAATACAGACAATACAGAGTTCCAAACAAAGTGGTAGGGAATTAACAATGGTGGTTGTATTACATATTGATATCTTCAAAGTGGCTTCTCATGAAAACAGATATAGACATGCAATACTGGTCAACCAAAGACTCATTGACAGTTTCTTTCAGCATAGAAACAGCAGATAGAAGAACAACCATGTTATCTATCCTGTATATACATACATACAAAATTTCTCCTTCTTTAAGAAGGGTTACTTTGGCTTAGAGTTTTGGAACTTTTAGTCCCTGACCAACTGGTCCCATTGCTTTGGGACTAAAGCAAGGCAGCATATCATAGCAGAGAATGCACGGTACAGTATGCTGCTAACTTAGTGGCTAAGATACAAAAGACAGAGAAAGAAAGAGACCACAGTCCAACAATCACCTTCATCGCATGATCTCAGTGACCTAAAATCTCCCACCAGGCCCCACCTCTTAACATTTACACCACCTTCCAAGAGTGCTATGGGCTGGAGACCAAGCCTTCAACACATGGGCTTCCAGGGGACATTTCAGACCAAACTATTGGAACTTGTCTCTGGATTGACTGCCCAGGTCTTTGAGTCCTTAACTAGAGACACTCAAAACCCTATCCTACTCTGTGTAGGCAAAGAAAATATTTTTTAAGGGGCAAGCAACTTTTCCATAAAGATTATTCCTTAACTTCCTTTGAATGTGCCTATTACTTTCATATAGAGATTTAAAATATTTATCTTTTAAAACCTTAAAAAATTAATCATCAGGTATGTTGATAAATCCCTTTCCTACAAGAATATTTAAGCCCATTTTATTAATTATGTGGTAAGCTATGAACAACAAGCCGTTTCTTTCCTTTCTTTTCTTCTTTTGGTTTTTTTTTCTGCTTTTTTCTTCTCCTTTTTGCTGCTTTTTTCTATTGAATTCAAAGTACCCTGATTTTTAACCCATGTAAAAGAGGCATGTTAGTCTCTCATTTGTTATGACTTTGATAGCTTTTCTCAATTCCTAAAATGTAGAAAGGTGAATTTCTCCTTTGCTAGCTATTAAGTCAGACCCACTGTGGAAACATCATACTAACCCCTTATTCCCACCCTCTACCATCACAGGACACATTTTCCCTTAGATTTCCCCAAGCACATGACTTTCAAGACATTAGGGCACATGTGTCATTCAGATATGAGAAAAGAAAGCTTAAATGCAGCGATTCACATGGTAGCAGTTACATGGCAAAAATGGAGCTGTCTTCCAGTCCACTGTGGGCATAAGTCAGTTCACAAAATGACAGTGGAAAACTTAAATTGAACAATCAAGATCAACTTAGTTATGCTGGTTTATTCTATATTCCTTGGGATGGAATCACCAGTCAAATCAAGATGCCCCATTCCTCTTCTTTGTCCTTATGGGATGATCCAAGTTGGGAGAGGAGGCTTTCAAAACTTCCTAGCATCAAAAAATAGGCCTCAGATCAAGGTAGGGGAGACACTCAAAATATTTAACAAGCATGAGATTTAGACATCAATTGATCAGAAATACCAATGAACACAACTCACGTACTGAGTACCAGTTGAAGACAGTCCTGCCATCATCTTCTACCCATGCTGGCTTCCAGCGGAGCAACTCCTTTGATCCTTGGTACCTACCACCATGGCATCCTTGGCTAACACATTCTCTCCCTGCTCTGTTTTCAGGTTGCTAATTCCAAAGATCACACAGATAACTCCAGAGTTTGAGGCCACTTGACTTCTAGATATGAAAAAAGAAAATTAGAAATGTGATGATTCACATTTGCAGCAGTTTTAAATTTTATGTGTTGAAAAAGTGGTAAACTCAAAAGGCCTTTCAGTCAACTCAGGGGGATGGAAAATCTTTGGCACTCTGTCATCAACTGGGGCTGAAGCCTTTTGAGATAATGCCTAGACTATCTCCACTTAGACCTTCCTGTTGCTTTTAATGCTTTCTTGCTGTACAGGTTGGCTGGAATTGAAACTTATCTATCAGGATCCCTTTCTGCTTCATGCTTCATCAAGAAGCATGGCACAAGGCTCTAAGTCCATCCCACTCTATCTTATCATTAGGTTCTCAGAGGTCCAACAGGAGGTGGGGGAGGAACATACTTAACCCTTGCTCCTCACTGGCTCCTATCCTAAATATTTCCTTTTAAGTGCCTGCTGGTCAAACCCAACCCTCCTCGGCAGGACAATACTCATGAACAATTCCTTTCCACTCACTGAGTTGACATAATATCTATGGGCTGAAAATCCCAGGTTCAAGCTTTTAGAGCTTGGGTCCTCACAGTAAGCCTCAGTTTTTAAGATTAATATCTCTCTTATGACTAAGATGTAAATTCAGAAAATCAATTGACTTATTGCCAGCCACGTTAGCCTTCCCTTAAAGAAAAGAATTCTACTGAAACAACTGAGGAAATTAAACTGTGCTTGTTACACATTTAGGAGAGGTTCTTTCCTTTGAGGGGGGCGTTCTTTTGTTTTTTGTGTGGGTTTCTGGTACCAGGAATCGAACTCACAACCTTGCGCTTGCCAGGCAGGAACTGTGTTGCTGAGCTAAATGCCCAGCCCCAGGAGAGGTTTTTTCAATACTCAAGATAGAGACCAGACTCCAATAAAAATATACTGATAAAACTTGCCAATCCTTTTTGGTTTGTCTTAATTAAGATGTAGACAGTCAATAAATAGTTAATACAAAATATCTTTATTTTTAAGATGCTGCTGCATTAATACACTATTACATGATACCAACTCAATGAAAATTCAAGATACTACAACTGTTCTTTTTTTCAAAGAAAGTATTTCACAAGACCACACTTCTAACATTTGCCCTAATAGCTTCCTGTCTGTATTATGAAGGAAGTGACTTTAAGGATAGCTAAAAATTTTCTCACTGAATTTTAAGGATTAAGTCAACACCTAGGGATTCTGACAATTTTCTTCCTTTTTGTTAATGCTGGCTTGAAAGGAAAGCTTTCCATCTTCAGCTTTTTCTCTCAAAAAATAATAAATATTTAGTCTTTGGAAGAAGGTAGAAAATGATGTTTATTCTCCTCATAATGGAGGCATTAGTATCATTATCAGTCTTAGAGTCAGGTAAATGCAGTATATGTTATCTTAGCAGTAAGAATGGAAACCATACCAAGGAGGGAAGTTCTTATATTTGTACAGTATCTGAATGAAATAAACTCTTCCTTTGATCTCACTTAACCCTGAAATCAAGATATGCAGTGAGGCAGATGTTATTATCATCTGTCTTTTACATTTAATAAAAGCAATGCTCAGATTGTCTCTCACAAAATCACATGGCTAACAAGTGTTAAGCTAGGACAAATACAAATTTAGGCCTTCTGATCCCAAGCCTTACGCTCTTTTCACCAAAGCACAGTGACACTAGTTGCACAAGTATTTGGTAACTGTGGCAATTCCTATTCCAGCAGTCATTGTGAGACCATTCCTATCTACCAAAAACATGTCTTTGTCTGCATGTTGAACAAAGCTGATGGTAGAGACTGGTGCTACTCACCTATAGGCATGTTTCACCTCATCTTTCTAGAAGAGAACACATACAGTCCTAGAAATTTCCAAGCTTCCTTACATGAGACAGTATGGCTGATTATACCCAATGGGCTAAGGATAAAATGACACATACCACTTTCAGGCCTGGTCTCTACGGCAACACTGTGATCACAGCCTGCCATGTTCTTTTCTCTGACAGCACTGACTTCCCAGATGCAGAGTGACCAGTGGAGGACACTAGAAGGAAAGTGGGACTGGTAGGGGTTGGAGGTACCTGAGTGCCAATGGTATAAATAACAAATCGGCTTTGCATGTGAGAGCCACTGCTTTGTTGAGGCTCTTTGCAATAGCATGAATGATTTACCCTGATCGAGACAGAGAGCAAAGGAAATATCATATTTTAGTGCTTGGGAAACACTGACACCAAATATTTTAAATGATACAGAGAAGACAGAGGAAATCAACTTCAATTTTTAGTGTTCTTTTATATTTGACAGTGAAAAATCATAATGGCCAAGTGATTCAGGAAAGGTCCAGGCTAGTGAGCTTCAGAACCACCCACACACTCAACACACATTTTGCTTTGTGTAGCATCAAATTATTCCTGCATATGGTGCACTCAGGCATTGAAAAGACAGAAACTTAATAATTAGGCATTCCGCCAGAATACTGCAAGATCACAAATAAAATTAGGTACAAAAGTAAATATTTATTGAGCATTTAAAGAACCACAACAAATTATAAACTTTAAAAGCTAACAGATACAAGTCTAACAAAATCCAAAAAGATAACATGACATTATTTTTATTAACTGCCTGACATACCTATGTACATACTATTTATCTTTACTTTTTTGGCTACATATTCTTTCTATGACAACAATTTACAATATTTAATATAACAGTAAGATAAATGTCCTCCTAATATAGTCAATAAAATATTTAATGGTTTTGTTGACAGTAATATCATTTGCATTTTTAGGATTATTGTTAACTTTGGGGGAAGTTACATGCTTCTGCCATTCCTGAGCTACAAGATTTGGAAGAATTATATACTGAGTAGCTTTCAACTCTGTCTATGCCAAACATTCCTCCTCCTCTTCACTGTTGTAACCCCAGTGTGGGACCAGCAGGCCACCTCTGTAAAGACAGGGCCTCTACCCCAAATTCTGCAGTCAGGGTTCCAGATGAGTTGGCACAGTAAACAACAGAAACTTTTCTAGAAGATGTACTGGGATGCACCCCTGTACTGGGGCAACCAGTAACAACTTGGAAGTGACCTCAAAACATAGAAATATATCCCAAGAATATCCCCAGTTGTACTTTCTCTACATCAGATTAAAAAAACAACTAACTCACCCATGGCTGCCCTATATCACCTGACAGGAGAACTGTGACAGTGGGATGCTGACAAGGAAAGTGAAGGTGAACCTAACTGACTGCAGTTATCTCAAACTTTCCCCAGGAATGAAAGTTTTAATAAAGCTCAGGCTGACTCCAAAGTCATTAGGGCCATGGCTTTTGGGGTTAAATACTCCACTCTCAAATTGCAGACTTACTCAGGAAACTTTACCTTGGCTTCATAACCATTTTTGTTTAAAATGAAGCTTTTTTAATGCTTTTATTAGGAAAAATCAAACCTCTCTTTGAAGTGAGTCCCATAGGTATCTCTCTCCCTGAAATACAGTCTAAAGAAGAACAGCTGCACTGAATTTTCTATCTGCCCACCGGAGGCAAGGGTGCACACCGAGGCTCCTAAGGTGTATGATATAAATAGATTGCCAATTGGCACATAAAGGTTTCAAAGCACAAAAATTAACTCAAACATAAAACTTTGAATTTTGTAACTAACTGTATTAAAATGAAAAAGCAAATTGAGATTATCACTTAGAAAGCTTAGAAACTCGGTAAAATTAGTCTGGGAAAGCTCCTCACACTCAACAAAGATGTGTAGTTTGGGGGTAATGTAGGACAGTGATTAATCTCAGTGGAAGCCAAGATGTTGCTTTGTTTACTGCCAACTCCAGTCCCATAATACTGCTAACTTGGCACACACTAAGTGCTCAGTTAATACATTTTACTTGAACATAAGGAAAGAGGAAAGGAAAGGAAAAACAGAGAGGGAGGGAAGGAGGGACAGAGGGGGAAGAGGGAGGGAGGTGCTATGGTTTGCATACAGATGTCCCCCAAAGCCTCATGCAGTCATGGGGACAGGCTTCTACAGTTTGCAATTCATTCATGGTCTAATGATGGGATTACTTGTATGAGTGCTACACCCACCCTAGGCCAGGTAAGCTTGCATACAATGTAAGGGACTGAGAGTTTCTCTCTCTCTCAATCTCTCTCTCTCATTGCTTTTGCTGTCTTCCGCTGCAATGAATTGTTGCCCCTCTGCCACGTGCCACCCTGCCTTGGAGCCAGTCGATTATGGACTGAAACCTCTACAAACCATGAGCTAAATAAACCTTTCCTCCTTTAAATTTGGGTGTCAGGTACTTTGTCTCAGCAAAGAGAAAAGTAACTAAGGCAGGAGGGAAGAAGAAAGGGAGGGAAGGAAGGAGGAAGGAAGGGAAGAAGGAAACAAGGAAGGGAGGGAGGGAGGGAAGGAGGGAGGGAGGGAGGAAGGAAGGGAGGAAGGGCAGGCCCACCTTTGCCTTAAGTAAGTCAGAGTATCTCAGATTCCTGACTTGTAAAATGAGGATAAAAATAGTCCCTTCTTCATAAAGTCTTTGTGAAGATTATGTGAACTAATGCGCATCAATCATTTATAAGGAGGCCCAGGATTCAATAAACTTAGTTATTACAATGAATATTTGATCTTCACTTAGTTTCTTGAAGCTGTCATTCAAAGCATCCAACAAGAGTGGATACTGTTACTGATTGCCACAAAGGGAAGGGAGCTGAATTAAAAGAATAATTAATAGGAAATCTTCCAAAGCTCCTGAAGTCTCTATTTTAATAATCCAGAAAGCCTGACAAGAATGAAAGAAAGAAGGTGCCCTGTGATGTGGCAGGAAGACCCACCTCAAGCCCCAGCTGGGTAAACGTAATCAATAACATCCTGTCAGGAACGTTTTGTGGTCTCATGTAAATTTAGGCTACCTGAATAAAAGATAAAACTGTCATTTCCTCTCTCATCATATAGCATGATGATTTATCTATTCCTCTGAGAGAACCAAACCAACAATTGCTTAAATGTTCCTGGTTAAAAGTGTCCATT